ATGTAGTACCTATATATGTAATATCAAAGCAATTGCACTTGCGGTTTTTAACAAGAAGTCGAAAATATCAGTTTTTACCAAAAATGACAAAAATATTCACCAAAATTAGAGAATTGAAGATATCACCACGAAATGAACAAATCTGAGAGAGGTCCACATGTAGTACCTATATATGTAATATCAAAGCAATTGCACTTGCGGTTTTTAACAAGAAGTCGAAAATATCAGTTTTTACCAAAAATGACAAAAATATTCACCAAAATTAGAGAATTAAAGATATCAACATGAAATGAACAAACCTAAGAGAGGTCTACCCAAGGTACATATACACCAAGTATCAAAGCATTTAGGCTTGTAGTTTTCAAGAAGAAGTCGAAAAAGTAAAACATTGACACGGACGACGACGACGGACAATCACTCATATGATAAGCTCCGCTCGACAAAGTCGACAGCGGAGCTAAAAATGACGTGCATCAAGGTCCTATTATGTTTAATGTATGTACCAAATTTGAATGAAATCCGTCCATGCATAACTGAGATCCGGGTCCGGAATGGTGAAAATGTGCGATTTCAATGCATTTTCGGCCTTAAAGCGGCCCCCATTTGGCTATCGTTAATGAGATCATGAAACAAATGCACATACATATTTGTGACATGATGTACCTTGTGTGTGTGAAGTTTGAACTCGATCAATCCAAGCATGTCTCAGATACGGATCCAGAACTGAATTCTTTAAAACAAAATGGCCGCCAGTCGGCCATTTCGAACCCGATCCAAAAAAAAAGAAGACGTGCATCAAGGTCCTATTATGTTTAATGTATGTACCAAATTTGAACAAAATCCGTCCATGCATAACTGAGATCCGGGTCCGGAATGGTGAAAATGTGCGATTTTGATGCATTTTCGGCCTTAAAATGGCCGCTATTCGGCTATCGTTAATCGGATCATGAAAAAAATGCATGTGCATATGTCCCATATAATGTGTGATGTATGAGTGAAGTTTGAACTTAATCGGTCCATGCATGTTCGAGATACAGGTGATCACGAACGCACGGACGGACGGACGGACGCACACAGGGCAAAACATAAGTCCCCGTTTTCGGACTGCGTCCAAACGGGGACTAAAAAGTTGACAATCATTCATATGATAAGCTCCGCTCGACTAAGTCGACAGCAGAGCTAAAAAGTTGCCACAAAACATTAGTGGAAAAAATTGTTCTGTTCAAAAGGTTAAGCAGCCCATCACTGGTACTTACATTGCACAGTTGTGATAATCTTTCCATTCAACCGGTGGAGATTCTAACCAAGCTTGGAAATACCTGACAATATTATGGTGCTCTAACTTTGCCAATGCTTTGACTTCTCGCATAACTTTCTGCCTCGCTTCTTCTCTATTGTGTAATAATTCAATTATCAGTGCATTGGTTTTAATAACTCACGACTCATTCAAAACACCCACTGTACGCAAATCAAATGTTTTATATTACTAGTCTCTGCTCCATGCTGTGTTCCACACAGGTCTAATGTGATGTATACAACACAATATTCTAACCTAGACTGAGCGACAACTGTGGCACTTTATGAATTTAATACAAGAAAACAAACTAACTATACTGTGAATAGACATTTTCAGGGCTACTGTGTAAAGCTATGACATAAAAACCTCTAGTTCTGATAGAGGTGATTTATAATCTAGAATAATATTTTTGTGGAATTCACATTTTCAATTTAGATACACTTACCGATCCGGTAATGAAATCCTTTTTATTGCGTAGGTATTATCATCTAATTTATTTCTCGCTTCAAAAACAGTTCCAAATCCTCCTTTACCAAGGCAATAGAGCTGTTCAAAATCCTCATGATATCTACAAAATATTAAATTTAAAGTTATGGGGATGGTAATTGATAAGGTTTAAATCTAGATGTGCACATGTACATGTATTGTAAAATTGATTTGATAGGTTTTGCAATCTCTTGTCAGAATCGTTTTTACTGGATTCCAAAACTCAACAGAAGACAAAATATTAATTTTATCTCTCTAAACTGAAACCTGCATTATCCTGAAACCTGTCTAAAATAAACACTACACCCCTTTCCATGACTCAAAAAGCAAACACCTCCCCTTGGTTTCACTGTATCAGTTCTTTTGGTGTTCAGTGTAGAAAGGTTTCACTGTATCAGTCTTTTTGGTGTTCAGTGTAGAAAGGTTTCATTGTATCAGTCTTTTTGGTGTTCAGTGTAGAAAGGTTTCACTGTATCAGTCCTTTTGGTGTTCAGTGTAGAAAGGTTTCACTGTATCAGTCTTTTTGATGTTCAGTGTAGAAAGGTTTCACTGTATCAGTCATTTTGGTGTTCAGTGTAGAAATGTTTCACTGTATCAGTCCTTTTGGTGTTCAGTGTAGAAAGGTTTCATTGTATCAGTTCTTTTTAAGTGATCAGTGTAGAAAAGTTTCATTGTATCAGTCCTTTTGGTGTTCAGTGTAGAAAGGTTTCATTGTATCAGTCCTTTTGGTGTTCAGTGTAGAAAGGTTTCATTGTATCAGTCCTTTTGGTGTTCAGTGTAGAAAGGTTTCATTGTATCAGTTCTTTTTAAGTGTTCAGTGTAGAAGAGTTTCACTGTACATGTTTCTACATGTACTAAATAGTTAAAGTGGTGTGATACTAAAGATAGTTACCTTGATTTAAATTCCTTAGGGTCATTACTCTGTGTTGGTTTACTCATATCTTTGTCCCCTGATTCGACAGTTTGTGGTATATTCCCATTGTTATGAACTAAACTCTTCTTTATAGAGCTTACCAACATTGACATCAAAATACACAGTTGTAGAATTTCTTTCCTTTAAAAAAAAATATTGTAACAAACTTGAAAAACATTATGAAGAATAATAAACTTATTGAAGAAAAATGTTTCTGATCAATTTGTTTTCCAAAATGCTATCTTGAATTGGATCATCAAACAAATAAAGATATGGCTGAGAAAAAAAAAATATCTCTGTTTCTCATTTCCGAGCGCATCATTTTGAACTATGACGTTTTTTTCCTTCTAAAGCATTCAAATTGCGTTTGCACTCGCACTTGTCTCAAATTTCCCCCATTTTAGCTCAGTATTCGAAAAAAACAACAACAACAATCGCCTCATTTTAAAATTTCCATGAAACGAGAAACAGGAATTTTTTTTTCCTGGCCTATGCATGTGTTGATATGTTTTATTGAATGTGATTGGACCAGGCATATCTGACATACAGGTGGACATGAATGCACGTACACATGCAATTTCAATTTCTTAAAATTTTGTAAGTTGGACTCGTCTTGCCAAGACACTAGCGCAAACCCCGAAATTAACATAACAATTTACTTACCACCAATCCCACACAGATACAGCAACTAAAGTATTCAAAGAATATCCATCCATTGATTCATTATTCCCTTCCGTAATAACCAAATATGGTCGTTTATTACCTCGGCGATCAGTAACAAGTTTTACAGGTGTCTGATCAGCAAACAAGTAATAACCGCTATCTGTTAAAAAAAATAAAACACAATGTTGAAGATTATCAAGTAGTCCATTCATTCTAAACATACCATATTTTTTTTATTAGAAACATGTCTCCAATAGAAATACCGTATAATCGCTTGAATAATCGTCACTCTAATTTAGGTGGCAGAAAAGAGTGAAAGAACTTAATTTGGTTCCAAAATAGGAGTCACGAAATGTTGAAATATTACAGTCAATCAAAAAAAAACTGATGACAAAAAAAATAGTAAGTACATTTAATGTCATATGCATTTATTTTATCAATATTGTTGGTAACGAAAAGTATATTCAAAATTCTAATAAGGATACAAACGCAATAAAGATGATCATTATACATCTGTCACCGTAACGCCATAAATTACAGCATGCCTTGATTTTGTGGTTTTTTACAGGGTATTTTCATCCTACGCCATAGTCGGCAATAAAAATAAAACGCTGATTACTGTGCTAACTAGCCGTCAGGGGCCCTACCCACTTCCGTTCCTTTAAAATATTTTGTTTTTGAAATATACATTGAGCACTGTAATAACAGTTCACTGTTGAAACGCAGTTAACCCATTTACGCTAGCCACAATAAACATTGTACTTTTGAGTAGATATCATTGACTACAGAAAACCTAAATTAGACTCTGATCTAGGAGTCAGGATAGATTGAAATGTTTGATAAGTTACAGATTATACGGTACACATAACGCAAAATTTGCATCTAACGTAAACTTAACACCTCTGTCAAATACAATGTATAAAAGTGCACACACTACTAATTATGAGAATATGGTATTCAGGCTTATTTTGCTATGCTTCCACTATTCAGTAGTAATTACATACAGAAAATATGAATCTGAGAGCTACAATCAGATGACAAAACTGGTGGCTGTTTTAAAGTTTGAAACATATACACATGCAGTGGGCTTAGTGATTGGATTCAAGATGGCCACCTGGAAATAATTTTTGTTTTAAATTTTGACCTCTGTATAATGTCAGGGCTCTGTGCCCGCAATTTATGCAAAGTATGAATTTTCAAGAACTTTGACAGTAAGACTTCAAGTATCGAGAAGACAGATTTAAGGATCTACCGTGTAATACATCATATAAGCGCCACTTTGATACATTTCCATTTCTGTCTGGCGCTAATTTGAGGTCACATTTTGGCAACTTTGTTGCAACTGGCGCTTAATTGAGGTCAGTCATTTTTTCACACACTTAGAACTACAGTAACGTTACCTTACAATCAGAGGAATCCTGATTATACAATGTTCCGGATTCTGTCGTAAATTCGCCCTTGGCCATTAAACGGCAGTTGGTTTTTAAAATAAAATGAGACCAAGAAATCATGTTTTTTTTAAATATTTTGGTTTCATTTTTCAGACAATCAATCATTCTGGACGCCTATTCAAGAGTACCGTTAAAGTCCTAATATAAACCGCATACATAATAGTAACCACACCCCCAATTCCGGCTTCGGGGTTAAAGAGTTCTTAACAAAAATTGAAAACTTGAAAAGTACCTATTACTAACCGCACCCCCAATTAAACAAGACCGTGACTGACTTCATTGTTTCAGCCAGCTGTTCCAAAACGGCATTGTTCCTAATCCTATTCATTTGTTTCGACAACATGTCTAAAAATATTTACACCTATTTATTGTTCAGCGGTGATAAGATGTCAGACAGGCATTGAAACTGCTTTTGTTCTGGCGGCGACCTCTGTCAATACTCTTTCTGAATACGTCTGTGCACAGTCCCTCTATCACTGTGGTCTGTGTTTCGTAAGTTTTAGACAATGAGCTTTTATCACCGTAAAAGTGTTAAACTGAGCATTGAAGAATAATTTATCTTTCGAAAACAAATAATTTCTTGATTTAAAAAAAAAATCATGCCGTTTTCCCATGGAAATCAAAGGCAAAAAGATCGCACTACATTATCGGTAAATCTCTTCCGTGTTGCGTTCACCATGAGGTCGCTGAACTGTCATTAACATATTTAAATGAGCTATGTAATTTAGACACGTGGGCACCATCCAGCATTTTGATTGGTTAATTAGCGACTTGACCTATCCGGTCAATAATACGTCACGTGAGCATTCAAAAACATGCTGGATATCGTATCGGCTGTTTACATGTGACTGAAATCATTCGCTTACGGGGAAACTAAGTTGAATTTTACTTGCATTTTATAACAATTCAACGAATTTATTTTTCGTGTGTTATTGTAATCACTACTAAATAATAATCACCAATATCAACACTTCGAAAACAAGTAAGTTATTCACTTGTGACCCGCAGCATGGCCGGATCGAGCTACCTTTCTGTGATCATTGTGTTTTTATTTTAAACTTCTGTTAGAATATACTTTTCGTTACCAAGAAAATAAAAAAAATAAATGCTTATTATTTTAAAAATACTGAGTATTTTTTGTATCATGTGGAAATTTTTTTTGATTGACTGTAATTTTTCAACATTTCGTAACGCCTATTTTAGAACCAAAATAAGGCCTTTCACTCTTCCCCGACGCCTATTCAAGAGATCGTACGGTGTATTGTTTGTTTTGTGCATGTGTTGTGTACAAAAAATGACCACGCCCATTTAGTGATTGCAATATGTACGTAATAGAAACCGCACCCCGAACTTGAGCTTTTGATCCCAATTTTTAAATTGATACATTGTAATATAAACCGCGGTTTATAAGAGGACTTTAACGGTAACACCACTGCACCCCAACACCACTGCACCCCAACACCACTGTACCCCATCACCACTGTACCCCAACACCACTGCACCCCAACACCACTGCACCCCAACACCACTGCACCCCAACACCACTGCACCCCAACACCACTGCACCCCAACACCACTGCACCCCATCACCACTGCACCCCATCACCACCGTACCCCAACACCACTGCAACTAACACCACTGCACCCCAACACCACTGCAACTAACGGCGCTGCACCCCAACACCACTGCACCCCAACACCACTCCACCCCAACACCACTCCACCCCAACACCGCTGCACCCCAACACCGCTGCACCCCAACACCGCTGCACCCCAACACCGCTGCACCCCAACACCGCTGCACCCCATCACCGCTGCACCCCATCACCGCTGCACCCCATCACCGCTGAACCACAACACCGCTGCACCCCAACACCGCTACACCGCTGCACCCCAACACCGCTGCACCCCAACACCGCTGCACCCCAACACCGCTGCACCCCAACACCGCTGCACCCCATCACCGCTGCACCCCATCACCTCTGCACCCCATCACCGCTGCACCCCATCACCGCTGCACCCCATCACCGCTGCACCCCAACACCGCTGCACCCCAACACCGCTGCACCCCAACACCGCTGCACCCCAACACTGCTGCACCCCAACACCACTGCACCGCTGCACCCCAACACCACTGCACCCCAACACCACTGCACCCCAACACCGCTGCACCACTGCACCCCAACACCACTGCACCCCAGCACCACTGCACCCCAACACCACTGCACCCCAACACCACTGCAACTAACACCACTGCAACTAACACCACTGCAACTA